AGGAATGGTCCCAGGCCACACTGCTGAGGTCAGGATGCAGTACTCCTTGCAGCTGAGTGTTTTGAGTGCAGAGGTGGAGGAAAGTCTTGCACCAGGAACACAAACCTCTAGACCTTGGCAGGGCTGGGGGAAGGAAAGGGTGTGTGGCCTTAGTTGCCCTTAGACCTAGGTAAGCAAGGTTATTTCATGTCCCTCCCTCTCCTTTCAGCCTGAAGACAGCTAAGTTTGCACTGTAGAGGCTAAGATGAAGGGGTTGTAAGTAAGGAGAGATGATGTTAGCCTTGGTGCTTGTTCCTTTTTGAACCAAAAGGAGTCCGTGTGCTGACCTGAGAGTCCCAAGGGCTCTCAGGAAGACTCTTCAAATGATTCTGCGTGTCTCTCCAGAACAGCTTGCTAGATAAGAAACACTGCAGTTCTGCTGCAGTACTTTTGCCACTAGCCCCTTTCTCAGCTTGCTAATGAATTAATCAATCATCTTTTTCTCTTCTGCTTTCTTTCCCTCATTCGTTTTCAGCAGTTGCAGCAGCAGTCACATTTGCCTCGGCAGCATCTGCAGCAACAGCGGAGCCCGTATCCAGTGCAACAGGTCAATCAGTTCCAAGGTAAAAGTCAAATTCTTTTTCCTATGTTGGAGTCAACGTATGTCCCTGTAGTGGGCACATGAAAGTTCATACATTCTGTGAAGACCAGGGTTTAAGCAGTGTGCCAGAAGAGGAAGACAGGCTGTTGCGCACTTGCACATACCACGTATTTTACCAAAGGGCAATGCCCAGGTTTGTGTATTTAGTTAAGTTTCCAATTTCCTTTCTGCTCCCCTCAGCAAAAGCTGCATTTTTTATTTGACATTTGTTTTGCCTCCTTGACATCTAGATTCTATGGATTTATCTTGTTTGCTTCCACTCTCATTATGCCTTTTGGTTTGTTTTTTTTGTTTTTTTTTTAAGCTAGTGTCTCTTACTGTATCTTGGCTTTACCCCTCTTCATTCCCCACTTTATCTAGTTTGGTGAGCAGAGGATTTCAGAGAGGTCATCCTTCTCTGGAAAAGTGACTGATAAAGGTCAAGTGTGGGAAACAGAGTGAAATACCTGAGACGTAAATGGAAAATTTTTTAATGATCTCAAAAAAGCAAGTATTATGTCGATGTGCTCGCAGATAACTGAAGAATGTAAGTACAGTCATTTTGGCTTAGGAAAAGAAGTTCATTCTGAGCTTTTTAGGTGTAAAGCATTAGCTGAATATCTTCGCTAACCACGGATTCTAAATAGACGTGAAATGAATGTGCTCTTGTGCTCTATGTTCACGATAGTGTCATGTAACTGCAGCGGAAAACTACGGAGGCAAGCATATTGCAGTTCTCATACCCAGGAAGTGAGCAGGCAGCCAGATCTGCTGCTGGTATAGGTCAGGGTGGCTCCTTCTAATCGCCTTCTCGTTCTTATCTTTGGCAGCATAAATTCTGTATGAAATTATTTCCCCCCCCCAATAATTCATTTGCAAAATCAAAACATATGTGTATGCGCTGCCTTATATTGAGATGTACATGTAAAATCTTTCTGCGTTAATGCTTCTTTGAAACCTTGCCTTCATATGTATTATTTAAAAGAAATAAAGAAGAGAGTTTAGGCTAATCTGACAGAGCAAGAAATTAATTTTCATAAATGAACTAACTAAAATATAAATATTTAGATGATCTTTAAGGTCCCTGCCAACCTAAACCATTCTGTGATTTCCCTGTTATTCCTAGTTAGTCACAAGAATGTAGTCCAGTGCAGTAGGTTATGTGTAAATGAGACCAGAAGGTGGCCCAAAATCTTAAAATCTGTAGCATCTCTCTTTCAACTGCTCCTTGTCTGATCTCCTGTTTCTCATGCCGAGCAAGGTAGTTAACAAAAGTAGTACATGAACCACTTGCTGGTAGTGACTCCTTTGGAGGTTTTCAACCGCCATTTTCAATTGAAAAATAGCTAACGATGCATTAAGTAAGTTTTTTATGTTATCTGAGTCCTAAGCACTTGCTGGAGTCATTGTAAAAAGAGTCTGTTTCTAACCATGGAAGGAGGAGGTGATCCAAATTAGGAAAAATCAAGGGGACTCTAGTGCTAATCGTTAAGAGAACGGTTTGATCGCATGGATAAAGTAAAAGCTGCAACTACATTTGCCCTGTTCAAGTGCGATCCAGATGGTCTCTCTTCATGCTACAAAATGTTTCATTTATCTGTATGTTGGAGCTGAAAGCATCCTCCAGAAGCTTATCCTGCTGCAGCAAAAAGGAGATGTAGCCATTCTCTGCATTACGTGCAAAACTGTAGAAATGGCTCTTCCTCTATTCATACCCATTTCTCACAGAAACCAAACCAACGTAAATAACAGGGCCCAGTATTCTGTGTTCTCCATGGATGTTCAGGTATGTTGTCTGCCACTGAGGGACAACATATAGGGGTTGGTTTAGGAATGTTCAGATTTTGTTGTATGGTTCATGAGTCTTAAAGTAATCATTTTATATTTACATCTTGCATTTAATAAGGTTTGTGCCGGGAGTAATTGTCTGCCTCCTACTCGGAGCCTCACCAGTGGAGTATTGTGTTTAGTTCAGTATGGTAGTGACCCAAAAACCACAATGAACCCATGGCATGATCAGAGCTCCAGTAACTGTTTTTAAATAAAGATAGCAAATACAGAAGCATATCAGCTTCCCAGAAATCGATAGCTCCCCCCACCCCTGAAAGGAAGACACAAGCATGGTTCAGTTATCTGCCACGGTGTGGAATTTAACAAGGTTAGGATTTTCTGGTTTCCCATCACTGGCCTAAGGTGGAGTAAAATGTGCTTATAATATCGATTCACTAATACACTCTCCCTGCTTTAAATGTCCACAAAAAACAATTTTTCTTCTTTCCATAGACTCAATCAGTAGCAATGGTATAGAAAATCCATTCATTTATGCCTCCTCAGCTATTAAAAAATTGATTTGCCTTCTGAGTCTGACATTTCCATTTTCAAGGCTTACTTTTGAAAGACAATGGAGATATTTAAAAGAGAGCTTTGAATGGTAAACTGAAGTTCAGCTGCTTTGCTGCCATTAAAGACGACCAGTGGAAGCTTTCTCATTTGCTTGCTAGAAGCTGAATGAGGCTTATGTGAAGAAGATAAGAGCTACTGAATCACAGTGCATATGCAACTTTGAAGTCTTAGGGACTAATTTTTTTTCATGGAGGAGGGTGCACATTATCACTGGTCTTGGGGAAAAAAATGCACACAAAAAGAAAGATTCACATTTACTTTCGAAAGGGGACTTTGACTCCCAGGTCACTTCTTAAAACTTTAATCTCTGGTCCTAGCAAAGTAAGAGAAAGGCAGGCCTATTTTAGCCCTGCAGCTCCTGTGGCTGTCTAGCTGAGGTACCCGAGTAGGTTATTATCAGGGAGGCAACCGTGGCTGTAATCATGCATCACGCATGCAATCGTGTTGCCTCGATTCTTCAAGAATCTGAAGGCATGAATCCCTTTGGGTGCACATCCCAAAATTGTCATAACTGAGAATAACTTAGTGAGTAAATCATTGGCCTTTTAACATTGCCAGCCTCATTTTAGGCCTTAAGGGAAATTAGGCTGCTCGTCTGCATGGATGGTATTCTCTGCTGAACAGTGTCCCACTTCACAAATTGAATACGTAACATGATCAGCAATTCCTGTTTAGGGTAGCATTTGAGCTGTGTTGACTCTCACCTTCAAGGAGAGGGGACTTGGCAGGCCCGGACAGAGGCTGCAGCCAGAGTGAGTTGGGAAACACATAATCTCAGAAATGCAGCTAACATTAGGCAGCAAGCCTGTGTCCCAAGGATGGATAGCCTTCTAGCTGTCTGCTGGCCTTCACGAGAAACAATTTATACACTCAGAAAGCACAGCAATCTGAAATCCTACTGTGATGCAGAAAGCTCCTACAGATTCTCTTTTATGCAAAGATGTGTTAAGTAAGATGTACAGGGTTGTGGGTTTTTTCTTACCTTCCTCCCTTTTTGGTGTAGGTTCTCCCCAGGATATCGCAGCTGCGAGAAACCAAGCAGCGCTCCAGAGCATGAGGACATCCCGAATGATGGCCCAGAATGCGAGCATGATGGCAATGGGTCCCTCCCAGAACCCGAGCACACTGCCCACCACCGCAGGCCAGTCAGACATGGGCATGGCTCCTTACAGCAACGCCTCTTCCAGCCAGCCGGGAATGTACAGTATGAGCACAGGGATGAGCCAAATGTTGCAGCACCCAAACCAAAGTGGTATGAACATGGCACATAACGCAGGCCAGGGAACAAGGCAGCCTGCCTCTGGACAAACGGTGGGAATGGTTGGCAATTTTGGTCAGAACATGCTGGTAAACTCTGCTCTTCCCCAGCATCAGCAGCAGATGAAAGGACCTGTAGGCCAGGTTGTACCCAGGCCGCAAGCACCACGACTTCAAAACCTGATGGGGACTGTCCCTCAAGGAACACAAAGCTGGCAGCAGCGTGGCTTACAAGGTATACCTGGAAGGACTAGCAGTGAAATGGGGCCCTTCAATAACGGCACAACGTACTCGTTGCAGTCTGGGCAGCCACGGCTGTCCAAGCAACATTTCCCACAGGGGCTTAATCAGACAGTTGTGGACACGAGTGGAACAGTCAGAGCCCTGAACCCAGCAATGGGGAGACAGCTGCTGCAACCACTGCCTGGGCAACAAGGAGCCAGCCAGGCCAGGCCGATGGTAATGCCTGCGATAAGCCAAGGGGTCCCCACGATGTCTGGCTTTAGTCAGCCTCCAACACAGCAAATGCCAGGTGGCAACTTCGCTCAGAGCAGCCAAGGCCAGGCCTACGAGAGGAATCCCACTCAGGACATATCTTACAACTACAGTAATGAAGGAGCAGGGGGGTCATTCTCCAGTTTATCAGAGGGCGCAGACCTTGTGGACTCCATCATTAAGAGCGGACCAGGGGATGAGTGGATACAAGAACTTGATGAGTTGTTTGGAAACCCCCAATGAATGGGCTTGTATAGTCTGGAGCTTTGGTTGTTATGTTTGCAAAAAGCGAAAAGAGAGTTGGATGTTCTCCCCATCCTTGGATAGGTTTTTTGTTTGAATTGGTTTGGTTTGGGTTTATTTTGTTTTCTTTTGTTTTTAGTTGTGCAAACTGAGCTGATCTGTAGCCAACTTTGGAAGATTCAAGGGACGATGAAAACATCGGCATCCCAAGACTTCCACCAAGCAATCTCCGTTGCATGGCAGCACCCCCTGCGTGTGTGGGGGGGGCAGGATGGGGAAACTGGAAAAGCCAGCTGATGCCTCTGGTTGGGAAAATTTGGTCTTTCCCCACCAAAACAAGGCTTCGTGGCACAGTGGTGTGGGGCGGTCCCAGTATCTCCCACCTCATGTAGCTGTAAACACTGCAACTTTCAGGGGAGCAGATGAAAACAGCCAGGAGCTAAAGCCTAAAAACGTCTGTGGGCGATTGCGCAGGCCCTGGTAGGAAACAGGCGTAACCACGGGGGTAAGCAGGTTTCGGTGAGCCATAGTCAGGCCCACAGGGCCAGCTCTGGGCTGTCACAAGGGAACATGCAGCACACACGTGACAAACCTAAACAGTCACAACGAGGTCACCATTCTCACTGCAGAGTGATAAAAATCAATGAAAGTGTAGGAGAACATGAATGTGGCAGCGTGGTGAGGCCAGTTTGATTATGGGACTGCTGCTGGAGATGGCTTAGGTGGGTGGGTTAACTTAATTGAGCTATTTAGTCCCCTTGGGACTTGCAGTAGCGCTTCCCTGTCAGAGCACTTAGGTGTGTATCGGCTGCCTGGGGTGCAGAACAGCAGCTACACATGGTGTTGAAGGACTAAGAGGTACCAAGAGACATCAGTGTAGGGCCTAAGCGGGTCTCTCTCTTTCCTCCCCAGTGTGTGTTTGGTTCACTTCCTTCCCCTCCTGTCATTCAGCATAAAGCAAGGTGAGCTGCCTGCACTTTTTTTCAGGTTAGCAACAACTGCCACAAAAGGGCAGGCAGGGGAGGAGAAAACAGGCATGAGGAAATGTACAGGGAGGGTTTGGCGCACAGAATGAGTTTCTCCTCTCCTCTTGAAACATGCAAGTTTGGCAGGTAGTATTACCCTAGTGTTCCTGGGCTCTCGATGTGATGTTATATGCAACCCGATCGAGATGTTTGGTCTGGAATAAAATTTACTGCAGTATTTGAAGAACAGGAACCAGTGAAGGACTACTGTAAAGGTTATTCATGAATGGGTAAACTATTTGGTGTAGTTATTAGAAACATGGGGTCTGGCCAAAGCAGCTTTTTGGTATTAGCAACATTATCACTGTCTCCACTGTGTGGACTGGTGCTGAGCAGCACCGTGATGATGTTGTGATGTGTTTTGCACAATACTGAGAGGCCAGCCATTCTGCGTGTCTAAAGCAGCGGTTCCCAAGCTGCAGGCTGAGGCCGAGGTAAGCTGTGCACTGAAACCTATCGCTTTTTTAGTGTTGTCAGCTGACAGCTGCTTATCAGGTTATATACCAGTGCATAAAAATTCTTAATGTGGTCCACAGTCCAGAAAGTTTGGGAACCTGTGGCCTAATGCTGGCATCTGTGAGCCATAAGATGTGCTCTGCAGTGGAAGTGTCTCCAGCGTACAACTGCCAGTACCAACTGTCCAGCTACCGATTACCTCCTTGTGCGCTGCTCTCCTTGGGCCCAGCGATGTGAGGCGCTGAGCCGCTGAAACCCACGGGAGCACCAGGGCTGGGCACCTTGCATTTTCAAGTCCTGCCTTTCCCTGTGGAGCACAGATATGCATCGCATTAAGGAATGGGAGCAAAATGGGCCTGGAACCATCTCGGTGCCCCGTTACAGTTCCCTTTTGTGCAGTAACCCCTTGCAGAGCTTACCTAGACGAGGGGAAGTATCTGTTTTAAATGCTATAATGTAGGCAGGACAAGCTGCATTTTTAACATGGACTAGCTGGTCAAGGTGAGCTCTCCATCCAGCTTGCCCTGACTGCTAAATTTTTAAAAAAACGCTTTAGTTCTATCTCTTTTAGCTAACCCCTTTTTAAAATACAGCGCAAGGACCTATTCCAGTTTCTGCTGAAGATGATCGGGGTTTGCCTGTCGTCCGCTTCAGCAG